CAGCCTGTTGCCAAAGTTCAGTTTGATTCAGGGATCTGCACTACAAACCAAGAGCCATAAGACCTACAGGAGCCAAACAGAAGGCTAGAAGGAGTCCAGAGAGCTAGAAGGCATCAGGAGGAGCAGGGAGTGTGGCCAGCTGCAGTGACAGCACTGGCCTCACCTAAAGGCAGCGATCACAACCAGTACAGCCACCTGCCACCTTGTAGGACTGCTGCTCCAGGGTCCCAGGTCCTCTGGAGGGTCAAGAGAAGCCAGGCTTTTTTCCACATATTACTTCTCGATTTTTAAATGTTAACAACAGAGTCATCAAAAGGAAGAATACTGCACTAACCACATCAAACAGAGCCGTGGACTGGATTCAGCCCCTAAGTTCTCACTTGCAACTTCTGCACTTCCACTTCTATGTTTCTGTGCTCTTTTCCTTTAGCTTCTTATATAGAGAGGAAGATATTTATCATATAACAAAAATGGAAAAGCTTTTTTTTTTTTTTTTTTTGCCCTATGCCAAATCAAGGAGAACGCCCATGTTGAAGAGTTCTGAACGTTAAGTATAAAATTACCAGTGAGGATGGATCAGAGTACACCCTGCATGTTGCCTCCCTTCAAAGTCACACACCGGTATTATGGCTTGGATGTGGTTTGAGTGTTCCCCAAAGCTTCAGTGTTAAATTGAATCCCCATCTAATGATGGTGTTTACAGGGGGGGCCCTTGAGAAGCGATCAGGATTAGATAAGATCATTGAGGTGGAGTCCCCTATTGTCCCCTGGAAGCTTTAAACACACACACACACACACACACACACACAGTCTATTGCCGGGGGATGCTCTGAGCCACCTCAGGACTCTGCCAGCAAGAAGCCCATCTGCATGAGGCTTCTAGACCCATGAGCCGACATCAACCTCTTTTCTTTATAAAGCAGCCTACCTCAGGGCTCACATCGTAGTTTTTAAAAGAGACTAATACAGGCCGGCGCCGCGGCTCACTAGGCTAATCCTCCGCCTAGCGGCGCCGGCACACCGGGTTCTAGTCCCGGTCAGGGCGCCGGATTCTGTCCCGGTTGCCCCTCTTCCAGGCCAGCCCTCTGCTGTGGCCAGGGAGTGCAGTGGAGGATGGCCCAAGTCCTTGGGCCCTGCACCCACATGGGAGACCAGGAGAAGCACCTGGCTCCTGGCTCCTGCCTTCGGATCAGCGCGGTGCGGCAGCCATTGGAGGGTGAACCAACGGCAAAGGAAGACCTTTCTCTCTGTCTCTCTCTCTCTCTCACTGTCCACTCTGCCTGTCAAAAAATAAAAATTAAAAAAAAAAAGAGACTAATACAATGATAAGTGGCAATTCAGGAATTCTAACCCCAATGCACCTGACTCCAAGTCCAGTGCTTTTTTCTACAGCCAGCACAGTGTTTCTCAGGCCCCATAGCTCAGCCTCATTTGTGCTTCCACCATGAGCTGTCCCACGCCAGAAATCCAGAGGGTGGGAGAGGAGCCCTGGCAGGAAGACCTACAGGGCCCCTCTGAGCAGGCTTCCCAGGTGTCAAAGGCAAGGCACAGGCTCTCCTTGCTCCTCTGCTCCCTGCCTACCTGCTGCTGCAGGCTGGGGAAGCAGGCTCAGGAATCACCTCCTGTCTCAATGTATGGTCAAACACCTGCTGGCTTCCTTCAGAGCTAGACACACCAAGAACTGTCCACTCTCAATGGGGCAAGAAAGGGGCCGTAGTAAATGAGCCGGGGTTTATCTTCTTCCAGACAGGCACAAATGATCTCCTTGTAGTCTGGAGTTACTGAAAAGGGAAATTCTATTGGCTACAACCCCAACACCTGATGGAATGCTACTTCTACACAGTCAAGAAAATAAGTCACGTGAGTGCATCACAAAGGTAACGCTGAGAGAAGCCAAAGGAAACACAGGGCAATCCCACTTATGTGAAGTTCTACAGCAGTCAAACTAACTTATGCCCAAGGATGTCAGGTGGCGTTCTCCTTGGGGGACAAGAGACCTGCTGCTGTTCTATTTCCTCCCCTGGGTGCCGGGCACATGGCTCTGCTTGTAAAAATCCATCAAATGCACTTTTCTGCATAGTTATGCCACAATCCAAACTTCACACTCACTTTCTGGGGTGATGGAAATAGTTACTCTCTTGACCTGGGTGGCCATTCATGGGAATATGCATGTGTTGGAAGCCACTGAGCTATCTACTTGGGTCGTAAGGAGTTTATTGCTTATTTCTAGAAATTAAACATGGAGAAGTCACTTTTTCAAAAGAGCCTCATGGTGCAGGCCATTTAACCTACTAGTTAAGATGCCACAGTGGAGTGCCCGAGTTAAAGTTCCAGTTTCCTGCTAATGTAGACCCTGGGAGGCAGCAGTGATGGCTCAAGTAATTGGGTCCCTGCCACCCACATGGGAGACCTGAATGGAGTTCCCAGCTTCTAGCTTCAGCCTAGCACAGGCCTGGATTCTGCAGGCACCTGCGGAGTAAACCAGTAGATGGGAGTGCATCACATTCTGTCTGTCTCCCCCACCCCAACTTCCCTCTTAAATACATTTTTTAAAAAAATTTTCTGGGGCTGGCGCTGTGGAGCAGCAGGTTAACGCCCTGGCCTAAAGCACCAGCATCCCATATGGGCACCAGTTTGAGAGCCAGCTGTTCCACTTCCAATCCAGCTCTCTGCTGGCCTGGGAAAACAGTAGAAGATGGCCCAAGTCCTTGGGCCCCTGCACCCACATGAGACACCTGGAAGAAGCTCCTGGCTCCTGGCTTCAGATTGTCGCAGCTCTGGTCATTGTGGCCAACTGGGGAGTGAACCATCAGATGGAATAGCTCTCTCCCTCCCTCACTCCTTCCCTCCCTGTCTCTGTGTGTGTGTGTGTGTGTGTGTGTGTGTGTGTAACTCTTTCAAATAAATAAATCTTTAAAAAATTTTTTCCGGCCGGCGCCGCGGCTCACTAGGCTAATCCTCCGCCTAGCGGCGCCGGCACACCAGGTTCTAGTCCCGGTCGGGGCACCGGATTCTGTCCCGGTTGCCCCTCTTCCAGGCCAGCCCTCTGCTGGCCAGGGAGTGCAGTGGAGGATGGCCCAGGTGCTTGGGCCCTGCACCCCATGGGAGACCAGGAAAAGCACCTGGCTCCTGGCTCCTGCCTTTGGATCAGCGTGTGCGCCGACTGCAACGCGCCAGCCATGGCGGCCATTGCAGGGTGAACCAACGGCAAAAGGAAGACCTTTCTCTCTGTCTCTCTCTCTCTCACTGTCCACTCTGCCTGTCAAAAAAAAAAAAAAAAATTTTTTTCCTCTGAAGTCTCAGGAATAGCCATTTAAAGTTTTCCTAAGTTTAAACAATACTAGCCCCACTAGCTTAGCATCAAGATCTGTAAGGAATTTAGTTCATCCATCTAAACATGAGCCATAAGAATGTCACGAACTCAACATGACACTCTGTAACCGTAGTGCTCTGCAGTGTCTTAAATGCATCAAGACCCAGTGCAACACTTTTCTTCAAAGGAAGCTTCAAAAGAACATTAGCTTGCTCGAACTAATATTTTATTCTAAGCCTTTTTCTCTCTAATTGGAAATATGAAAGGTTTCAGCTCACGAATGTTCACAAATTTCAAACTTACGAGGTCAAAAAAAAAAAATCAATGAGCCTTCAAAGCACCTTTCTTTATCAAAACATTGGGTTAAATGCAGACAATAAAAAAGTAAGAATATTGGCTGTTTGGGCTCCCATAATAACACAAGAAACTTCCCCCAGGAGATCAACAAAATTAGTGATCTTTCATCTTCTCTATACAAGTCTCAATGTGCTAAGCATATTCTAGCATCAGAGTATGATTAACATTAGTAACACCAGCATTAGTTATACCAATGAAATCCCTAAAGATTTCATTATCCATTCAGGCACATAATTTTAAGGATGTTGGATGTCCTTATGCCCTTTAAATAACATTTCAAGATCTTCCAAGCCTGAGATAGTTGGTTAACAGGAAATGAACCCCAACTTCTGCAGATTGACTTCCCAAGGCCACCCATGGACAATTTTTACAAAATAAGAAACTTATTTCATATTGCAGAACTCCTATTGGCCCCCAAAGGTATCTGATACACTTTAGAACAAGCACAGCTTCCATCAAGATGATTAGATGATGGCACTTTAATGAAGTATTGCTTTTCCTATGAGAAGTGAAGAACTGTAGAATAGCAGCCGAAATTCCAGTGGTCCCGAGATAGAATCTATAAACCACGGGAGGAAGAGTGCTGGCATCCCATACGAGTGCCAGTTCAAGTCCCAGCTGCTCCACTTCTGATCCAGCTCTCTGCTGTGGCCTGGGAAAGCAGCAGAGATGGCCCAACTCCTTGGGCCCCTTCACTCTCGTGGGAGACCCAGAGGAAGCCCCTGGCTTTGGATCGACCCAGCTCCAGCCATTTGGGGAGCAAACCAGCAGATGGAAGACCTCTCTCTCTCTCTCTCTCTGCCTCTGCCTCTGCCTCTGCCTCTCTGTAACTCTGCCTTTCAAGTAAATAAGTCTTTAAAAATTCACCTACTAAAAAAAAGAAGAAGAAAAGAAAGGAAGGAATTGTCCAGTGCAGCAGCATCCTGAGGAGGTTCAACAATGACCCCAACTGGACTGCAGTTCCTAGAAACAGCCATGGCCAGTACCACTTTCAAACCAGGTCAGCCCTGCAACAACCAAGTTGGACCCAACATACCCACAGCCTTTTAAAGAAGCTCCTTAATGAATGGGCTGAATTCAGATGCGTTACAAAAGCAGGCGATATTTGTTGGAATGGGAAGGAAGGAAGGAAGGGAGGGAGGGAGGATGGACAGACAAGTTTTCTGTCTTAGCAATACTAAGCAGTAACAGACAAATCGAATAGCCTTCCTGAGCAAGAACAATTTCCAGATAAGCTGTGCCTCTGGCCCAGAAGCAGAATTTGCTGCAACTCAATGGATCCAGCAGCACAAGCTGAATGTCTCCAAGTCCTTGGTGCGATTAGTCTCACCTGGGAAAAGTTCAGGCCGTTCAACGGATGGCACTGCTCCTCCACCTTTTCCACGGCCCCAGTCTGTTTCCTCAGCCGCTCGGCCTCCTGGGCAAGGAACAGGTCTAAGACGGGCACCCCGCGGGACTTGATGTCCACTTCGGTCAGGGAGTTGACCATGAGCATCACCCAGATGGGCCTCTTGCGCTCCCAGTTGCCCGCGATGGCATTGAAGAGGTAGTCGGCATACAGCCCCTTGCCCCGCTGGTCCGGGGTCATCCAGGAGGGCATCATGAGCTTGACGTACTCCAGGTGGCGCTTGAGGCGGCAGTATATGTCCCTGGGGAGCACGTCCTGGAGGTTCTCGCCCTGCGGCAGCATCTGGCAGCTGGTGAGGGCCGAGATGGTGTAGGGGTCTGTGAGGTCCAACTCGAAGTAGACAATGCTGCTGTGCTGGAACGCCTCCTTGGAGTTGTCAGGGATGAAGTCCCAGACCCGGGTGTACGGGACGTGGATCGTGCCAAAGAAGTAGGATGGCGGGTCTCGCTTGATGGTCCATAGGAAGGAATTCAAATCACTTTGCTAAAAAGAAAAAAGATGACATCAAGGCATGAGGGTGCAGGGCCAACTGGGAGGCGGGAAGGCGTGCAGATACCAAGAACCAGAAAGGAGAAAAGTGAATCAGAGAGAGAAGGTGGATTACCAGAGAAAAACAATCAAAGTAGGATTTGGACTTTTTTTCATTTTCTTACTCAGCAGGCAGACAGACAGACTCAGCTCTCACGTGTTGATTCATTCCCCCCAAACATCTACAACAGCTGGGGCTGGGCCCAGGACTCCATCCAAGTCTCTCGCATGGGCGACAGGGACTCAACTACTTGAGCCATCACCTGTCACCTCCCTGGGCTGCATTAGCAGGATGCTGGAATCAGGAGCCACAGTCAGGAGTCAAACCCAGGTACTCTGAAACGGGGTACAGGCATCTTAAGCTTAGGTCAAATGCCTGCCCCAGATTAAGACTTTTGAGCCCAGGTAGATTCACCTGCCAGGAGCAGGAGTCTTTGATACAGTCTGTTATTCAGCATCCTTTTACCCCTTTTCCATCAAAATGCTGATTCTAGAGAGAAAGCAATCACCAGGTCTGGGTCTACCCTAGGCCTGCCCTACGAACTGGGCTCCGAGGACACACATGGTGAGAGACACCTGAAGAACCCACCGTTCTCTCCCACACACCCTGGCTTCCTCAGCTCTCAAATCCAGGGCTCCCAAGGGCAGAAGCTGTCAGCGCCACCACCAGCTAAAATCACTTACAAAGTTTGTAGAAGTCCAACCCCTGGACCCCACTCCAGACCAATCACTCTGGGTCTCTAGGGGTGGGATTCCACGGTGATACTTTTTAAGCTCCCATGGTGAACCCAATGTGCAACCAAGGCTGGAACCACAGCCCCATGAGCCCCAATTTCATAGCTTGCTCTGTCCCTTTAGGACATGGATTGTCCTACTGCATTACATTTTCACTATACTTTTGGTTCAACAGCAGAGGTCTAGGTGGGATTCAGAGCGGTGCTCTTTGTCTGAGGCCCTTTCGTTCTTGTGTCTCAGTCTCAACAGCAGATTCATGAAGTGTCCACTTACTCAGAGGCATTGTATAAAGAAGTGCACAGGACAGCCCCCAAGGAGTTCAATTGTAACGGTCATACACACATGTGGAGTGAACTACTATCAAGCAACCCAGAAACGTGAAAATCCATTTTCTTTGTTTTTTTTTTTTATTTTTTATTTATTTTTTGACAAGCAAAGTGGACAGAGAGAGAGACAGAGAGAAAGGTCTTCCTTTGCCGTTGGTTCACCCTCCAATGGCCGCCGCGGCCGGCGCACCGCACTGATCCGAAGCCAGGAGCCAGGTGCTTCTCCTGGTCTCCCATGCGGGTGCAGGGCCCAAACACTTGGGCCGTCCTCCACTGCACTCCCTGGCCACAGCAGAGAGCTGGCCTGGAAGAGGAGCAACTGGGACAGAATCCGGTGCCCCGACCGGGACTAGAACCCGGGGTAACGGCACCACGGGCAGAGGATTAGCCTATTGAGCCACGGCGCCGGCCATGAAAATAAAATCCATTTTCAAATGAAACATTACCCAGAACTGCAAAACAGACAGATGAGGATGGAGCTGAAGCTGTCCCCCACCCCTGGCCATCTGCGACAGAAACACCACTTGGCCATGACAACACGCTCAGACGCCAACAGAAGCGGTCAGTCACCATGTGGGCGGCAGAGGAAGTCTCAGTGGGGGGAGAGCAGCAGCACACAGGCCTACAGTCCTCCACAAGGGATCCTGGCTAAGAAGCCAAGGCCACCGGGGCTGGGGCTGTGGTGTAGCAGGTTAAGCCACTGCCTACAATGCTGGCATCCCAGCTGCTTCACCTCCAACCCAGCTCCCCGTTAATGTGCCTGGGAAAGCAGCAGAGGATGGCCCAAGTGCTTGGGCCCCTGCACCTACATGGGGGACCTGGATGAAGCTCCCGGCTCCAGCCTGGCCCACCCCTGGCTGTTGCGGTCATTTTGGGAGTGAACCAGCAGATGGAAGAGATATCCTGATCTCTCTCGCTTGCTCGCTTTCATTCTTTCTCCCTCTGCAACTCTGCCTTTCAAATAAATAAAATATTTAAAGGAAAAAAAAAAACACAGCAGCCCAGGCCAGAGGCCAATGTTGTACACAAGGATCAAGATGCTGCTTGGGATACCTTCATCGCACAATGGAGTGCCTACGTTCAAGGCCCAGCTCCTCGGCTTCCAATCCAGGTTCCTGCTAATGCAGATGATGGCTCAAGCACTTGTGTCCCCACCACCTGTGTGAGAGACCCAAATTCAGTCCCAGGCTCTTGGCTTCAATGAGGCTCAGCCCAGGCAGCTATAGACAGAGGCAATCAGCAAATGCAAGGTCTGTCTCCGCCTTTTAAATGAAAAGAAATTCTTTAAAAAGCAATAAACAGCAGCTCATGCCAGGGCTGGCCACTTAGAAACAGAAGCCTGGAGCTCTAGAACCTTTTTTCACTAAAAATTCTGGCTTTAAATAAAATTGTCCAAATGTGATCTCCATTTTCTTAAAATTTGTGCATACCAAAGGGACTACACATAACTAGCCCCCAGCCTGCAATCTTGCTTCTTATCGCATTTAGATTACAGTTCTGCTCACCTAGCCCACTTTCAAGAACACACTGATTGGGCAAAATGAGCCTAAACTCTGCTCCTGGGTCAGCTACTTCACTCCTCTGCACCTTTGTCTCCTCATCTGTAAAAGTCAGCTAACAACCCCAGCTTAAGGTTATGATAACAAATTGGGTAACTGTTAAATAAACAATAGAATGATTTAATTTTGTGCAACTCTCGGTTGTTGAAGCATGAAGGGATGAATCAGCGGGCCAGCCCTGTGGCATAGCAGGTAGAGATGAGTCATCTCCAGCCCCCAGGCATTTTCTAAAGGACTAGGCCCTTGGGACTCTTTAAATACTTCAAAAAGCCAAATGGAAACTGTACGTCTACCAAGAAATGGCTGCCAAGGAGAATTAAGAACGCAAATGTCTCAGAGTAGGTGTTTAGCCTAGCAATTAAGACACCAGTGTGATGCCCATGGCCCACATCAGAATGCATGAGCTGGACTCCCAGCTCCAGCTCTGACTCCAGTTACTTCTAATGCAAACCCTGGGAGGCAGCCATGAAGGCTCAAGTAACTTGTTTCTTGTCACCAACTGGAAAATCTACACCGAGTGCCAGCTTCCACTCCTACCTAGCCCCTGCCATTGTGGGCATCTAGAGAGTGATCCAGATGTAAGTTTCTCTCCCTCTCCCCCCTCCCTCCCTCTCTCTCTCCTCTCCCCCTCTACCCTTCTTTCCCCCTCCCCTTTTCTCCCTCTCCTTGTCAAATTTTTAAAAACGGAAGATCCAATGTCTCATAGTTAGAATTAAATCTGGCAGAAAACACTGGTTGAATAGACCCTAATAAAAAACTGAGATCAACAGCTACAGCTTCATTTAAAATGGGTAACAAAACAATTATTACCCACAAATCCAACTCGTTTGCTAGAGGCTGCCTTCAAAGCATAATTTTAGTTCATAATTTTAGTTCGACTTTATTCATTTTCCAGGAAAGAGCTGTCAAAGAGGCCGAGCCTCTCAATCTCTTACGCTCTCCTTCTCCCTCTTTCCTCCTTCACCCCTTCCCTCCAGTCTGTTGGGTTTCCCCCCAGTAAACCCTTTCCCTTACTCCACTGCGTGGTGTGTTTTCGGATGGCCTTACATTGGTGCCATGACCCAGATCCAGGCTCCCCCAGTGACTTTGCTCTCCCTTCAGGGATCTCTGGGCTACCTTGGGGTCCTGGATTTCTGCCAGTCACAAAAGACACCCTCAGAACTCCTTCCAGGTCACCGAACGCTTCGTGGCTCTCCATCCACACACCGGCCTTCCACATTCTGAGTGTTTACAGGAGGTGATGATGGAATGAACCAATGCCCTCACCAACCAGGCAGTTAACCAAGTGCTGCTACAGGGATATAATCAGCGCCCCACCAGGGAGACAGTGGCTTGAGACATCGCCCCATACCAGCAGGAAGGAACTCTAAAGACAGATCATCGTCCCTCTACCCTCCCTAGACTTTGGGGGCTAATGTAATCCCATACAACTCTTGCTTTATAAAAACAAAAGGGAGGAATGTTAGTAAAATGGCACAGTCTTACCTATGGCACGATCTACACCCCAGACACCATCCTAGGCTCTAGCCCCCACCACATGCCTGGAAGCCAGGTGACCCCACGGCCCAACCACTGGTGTCAGCTCCACCCCCACCCTAATGGAATTCCCTGCTCCTACTTCCTTGCCCACCACCCAGCAAAGGTTTAAGAGGATCAATTCCTGGCTCTCTCAATCTCTTACGCTCTCCTCCTCCCTCTTTTCCTTCTTCACCCCTTCCCTCCAGTCTGTCGGGTTTCCCCTAATAAACTCTTGCCCTTAAAAAAAAAGTACATCTGTACTTTCTTTTGGAAACAAAATCTATTCTATATGCACCTATTTTCATTTTATTACTTACTTGATTGAGGCCTTTTCAATTAATATATGTCTAGAAAGAAGAATATTGTGCATATTTTCAGGAAAACCAACAAGATGTTTTTAAAGACACTCACATTCTGGCATGGAGTCATGTAACCCCAGCAGTGATGCTGAGCAGCTGCCTGTTAACAGTGCTCACTGGTGCCTGCCCCACCCAAGCATTTCCTGCGGATGGTCCTACTGCCTTCATCATACTCAGTGGCCCCACAATCACGTGTGCTATGCCTGTGTTCCAGGCGCTATTCTAGGCACCAGGAATATAGCAGTAAACATAGCACGGGCCCCTGCCTTTGGTGGATCAGTGATAATTGCTGTGGAGAACATGTAAGAAGAAAAAGGAGCAGAGAGTTTCTGGGGCAAGAGGCTGAGGGTGTGATTTCAGACAGGGGATCAGGAAAGTAATGGCTATCAGAACCTGTAAGCCTTGCCATGAAGGAGGTGAGGACGAACCATGAAGAAGAGCATCCTCCCAACAGAGTG